GTTTTAAAGTTTCAGGTGTGGTATTTCCTTAAACTCCGCCTCAATTTGTAAAGTGCCTTTCTTGAAAAGCAGTTTGCAGGGCTGTGGGGAAAGAGCGGGGGTGTGTGATTGATTTGAGTAGCTCTTTTTAAAGACACGATGGACCAAATGACTTCCTTCCGTGTTGTACAATTCTATGATTCTAAAAAGAAAGCAGCTTCCGTCACTAACACTGAAGTTCAGAAAATTTTCACTATTCTACAAGATGTTAAATTTGAAGGTAGTAAGNAAAAAAGGATGGTCTTGGAGGCTAAGACAGGGTGGAATTTCAAGCCCTGGAAGCTGAAGCCATCAGCGGTTGGTCAGGAGGGTGGAGTTATGTAAATCCGTGGGATCCAGTAATCTTTTCATTGCAAAAAAATAACCTGGTACAGAGCACTTCCCACTCCCCTCCATGACTCATCCACTCGCTTGTGGAATCACCTTGAGCACTGAGCAGTTTGTAAGCTGTAATGGTCTGCACAATTTTCTGAGGTTTAACCGGGAGGTATTTTGGCTTTAGCGATGGCATTAATGCTGCTCTTTGTGAATTCCTTCCTTTCTTAAGATTCTTGGGAGCTGGTTGGTAAAAGGTCAGAGTCAGTCCACTGAAGACAGAGGCTAGTCTCTGGCTCACTCTGTGTGCTGTTTCTGGGTGATTCCAACCGGCTCTCACCCTCCCTTCCTCCTGCCTTTCCTCTCTCGCTCTCTCTCCCCCCCACCTCCCTTGGAGTACTGTATTGTATCCCGAGGATTTGATTTCCACATGCAGTTAGGATGAAGTTTGCTCCCAGAAGGTTATCAAAATGCGCAATGATTTGCTGGCATAGAAACAGGAATTGCATAAGCGCCTGTGGAAGATGGGTCCGTGGGAAGAACAGTAAATTGGTTTAAGAATAGATGTTTCAGTCAAGAAGCAGACGCCCACACTAACACAATGGGTCAAATGGCTTTCCAATGTGTGTGAGATTTCTACATTTCTGATGTGTATAATAAGTGCATCACTGGGGACAGGGATTCAGTTAACCCTGAATGCCATAGCCCTAGCTGGACAAGCAATGGGAAGCTTGTCAGATCGTGAGCACTCTCAAAGACGAGCTATATGGTTTTAGCTGGTTAAACTTCAGCAATAACCCAAAAGTGCACCCAGAGGTTCCCATGCCTCGGCTCTTGCCAACCTGCGCCTAATACTCTGCGGATTTAAGTAAACAGGGTGCATCCCTCTGGGGAGGGTGCAAATTCCATTCCATACGCAGGAATTTCTATGAGTATGTGGCGTGTGTGGAACTCTCAGTCTGGTTCGGATCTCGTAAGCATGGTGATAAGTTTCCAGATGCATCAGACACCCCGACCAAAAGAAAACAGCAAAAGCTAGGGCCTGATTGTTCCCAACTTTTTAACCGTTCGAAACAATGTCAGAATCTTGATCCTGTGTTTCACTCACAACACTAATTTCAGGATCTGCACCGTGTCACGCTAAATGTTTGAAGATACATAAATGTTCAGCCTCATTGGTTTGCTTTGTGTATCACGTATCAGGGTTACAGCCTTCAGCCGCCAAAACTGTGTCACAGATTTGACCCTGTCACTGACTGCCAGCACACAAGCAGCTTTGGAGACATTATTATGAGGTGGAAATTCCACCTGGGTCAAGGCTCTATTTACTCTATTAGCATTTCAGATTGTCCAGAATGTGAACAAACTCTTAAATGCGATATTGAAGCCGTATTTTTGGGGAAAATTCTTTTTTTAAAAAAGACAAATAAGTGAATTCGGCACTTTGACCATTTCTGAACACTCTGAAATGCATAGAAAATGGAGTAAATCTAGAGCCCCATCCAATATTTCTCCACTTGTACAAGGGAACCCTGTTGGAACTCTGGACATTGTATGCCTGGCTTCCTGCGCTAAATGTACAACTTCCAGTTCATCGGTTCACTGTTGGTGTCACTTTGGGAAGGAGATGCAGCCTACTGGAAGTGACGTTAGCGTCTTTCCTGTGAATCGCGCGCAGGACCTGATGTCAACATCAACCCAACCAGCTGGAAGTCGGCTATTTTTTGTGCCACTCTTAATACTTCGGCTTCGAAGGCATTGGACTCAGCTGACCATGCTATGAAAGCTTTCCCCGCACGATGATACCAACGGATTTTGCAAATCTTATCCCTGCCCCAACAACAACAAATTACATTTATACAGCGCCTTTCACATTGGGAGGACGTGCCAAGGCGCTGGACAGTCAAAGATTTGCACCTGAGCTGAGGGCTGGGATCAGGAGAGGTGGAGAACAGGGAGGATGGGGCAAGAGGGTGACTGAAGGCGCAGTCGAAGAGGAAGGTCTTCGAACGGGCCTTGAAGGAAGCAAGGGAGGGACGAGGCGGCGGGACTGTGAGATGAAGTTCCAAGGGTGGGGGCAGAACAACTGTTACCAAAGCAAGACACCTCTGCATCTGAACTTATGCATCCTAGAGACCTTACAAGCAGGCGACAGAGAGACAGTGTACAACTGATCTCAACATTCAACCACCCATTGTCTCCGTTCAGCAATAAAAATATATTAAATGACAGGGCTGAGGGTAAAGTCTGCGTCTCAGGTGACCATCACTGCAATAACCTCCCCACCTTGTTACCCAATTGGCTCCTTTCAGCCTGAAATTGTAAACATTGAAAAATTCGTACTCCCTCTGGGCAAAGTCATTTCAAGCAGGAAGATTTACATACAACTTCAGACAGTTCATTTTACAAGTCAAAGCATAACAAAACACAATAAAATTCTTGAGATGTGCTCTCCGAAACACCTGCTTCTGCAACAAAGACTATAATTAATGATCAGAGACAAGTCTCTGGCTGAGGGTTTACAGGCTGGGAATTGGATAACTTGAGGGAGGAGGGAGTAGTCTTTGTATAGTTTTGCTACAAGGATATGCGTGGGGCAGAGGTATATAGGAACAGGAGGAGGCCATTCAACCCACTGAGCCTGTTCCGCCAGTTTAGGCCATCAAAATGGATGACATAACAACAAATTACACTTGTATAATGCCCTTCACATCGGAAAGATGACCCGGGGCGCTGGAAACGGTACTAGGTCATTCGGCCCATTTTTCCGTGTCAGACTTTGCTCCTCTAAGAAGCCATCCACCCTAATCCCAATTCCCCGCTCTCTTCCCTGTGTCCTCTAATACTCTTCCCCTCCACCTTCCTGTCCAATTCTTTTTTAAATGTCCCCAATCAATTGCTCTCGATGGCAGATCAATTCAAACCCCTCCCACCCACCCCACCAACACACACCTCTGTTTTGTTCAATAACTGTACGGTTAAAAAAACAATTCAGCAATAAAATAAAAAGCATCCTTAAATAAACCAGCATTAATTCACAGCTTGACAAAACCATGCTGCCAGCACAGACACAAATGCTTTGGCTGTCTGACATTCAGTATTGTCCATTCCATGCTGGTCTTCCTTAAGAACATAAAAGCCTTGGCTCACAGATAATTTTTTTTAATCATTTCTAAGAACAGAGGATTTTGTTACACGCTGGAAAACAAAGAAATGGTCGCAATGCTGAGAAAAGGGTAAATACATTCCAGGAACAACCCACGTGTGTTTATAACAGAATTGCATGCAATACGTAACATCCTGACATCACCGTGTCCTGACATTACACCCTCACATTTTCACGCTCCTGTCCTTTAAGCCTTCTGACCCAAAGCTGCTTCTCCTCAAATGTGAATGCAATTGGATTACACCATATAATAATAATAATAATCCTTGCATTTGATATAGCGCTTTTCACGTTGGGAGGACGTCCCAAAGCGCTTCACAGAACACACTGTAAAGTGAATTGACTGTATATTTGTGGGCGAACGCGGCAGCCAATTGCGCACAGCAATGTCCCACAAACAGTCGTAGATTGAAAATGACCAATTTATTATTTCTGATTTTGGAGGGATTATTATTAGGCGTGATATGAGATATGAGATCTGGTCTAGAGATAGAACATTACGAATTGTAAAGGATTCCACCCTGGAGTTTACACTCCAACAGAGAGATCAGGCTGAAACGTCCACAGTCAGTCTTGTGTTCTGTCTCTGATCTTTACCCTTGGGAAATCCATACAACAAATAACATAGAGCGATCATCCAGTGCCAAACCTTGTGTGAGTTATCATTGCATAATCACTGACTTTTTATTTTAATGTTTCTTTTGGGAGCGGATAAGGTTTGTTCTTCCTTTGTGTAACTTTTTTTCTTCTCCTGGCCGGATGCCTCTGCAGACCTGGCAATTTTTGTACAGAGCCTTCCCAGACTGCTGCCAACGCCCAGTGACCAAATGCCAGGGCGTGCCAACTGTATCGCTCCTCTCCAATTGCCCTTCTCACCCTGCCTTTCCCCCTTCCCCCCCCAATGCTCTCTCCAGCTGAGTTTCAGCATTCCGCACACAGCTCCACAACATCCCTTCATTTCAACTGGAACCACAATAAATCTTGTAAAACTATTCCATTTCTGAGATGTTGTTGGCATTCTCCTGGTTTGATGTGTCCAATATCAGAAAACACTGTAAAGGGTTTTCCTACACCACAGCAATACAATTAGGATGCAATGAGCAACAAACCAACTCTTTTACTTTTTACCACCCTTGTCATTGAATCTTAAAAGAACAATTCAAATCTATTAACTATTAATAGGCAGAAAGTTAATTTTTACACTTGCACAAATACACAAACACATACACACTCTCAGGCAACTGAGGTCGATAAAGAGTTTTGTTAGGTAAGGGTGTCAAGGGATATGGAGCAAAGGCGGAAAAATTGAGTTGAGGTACAGATGAGCCATGATTCAATAGAATAGTCGAACAGGTGTTAGGGGCTGAATGGCCTACTCCTGTTCCTATGTTCCTTTTAAGTGCACACATCACACACACACACAAACACACAGGTGCATGTACATGCATGTAAGCACACACATACATAAACAAGTGCTGACCTTGACACTGCGGTGATGTATCCGGGAAGGGTGGCATTTGATGCTGCCAGTATTGCAGCACCCAGTACATCGCTTCACCTCCACACAAGGCGGCCAAATCAGGAAGTTGGCAGAGGTGGGATCGATCTGACTGCGAGGGATTTCATAAATTACAGTCCTCGTTTTACACACCGCAGGTACAGCTTCCTCTAGAAAATGAGAACGATTCAGAAAATCAGAGCAATCAGACAATCAAAACAAAAGGGCTGACAAGTTGCCGCGTTCCTCTTCAAATAAATTATATTTTGAAACTAAATTCCACGGGGAAGAAAATTCCCTTTCGTTTGGGCTTGCAAACAAAAAGAAAAATGGTTTGAAACGAAAGACTTTGTTCATCAACCTTAGGAAAATACAAATTCAGAATAGAAACAGCAGAGAATAATAATAATAATGCTTGTATTTGACGAGAATGTTGAAAACGTCTCAAAGTGCTTCAAAAGTTTCTGCTAAGTGCAGTCACTGTGCATTATGCAGGTGACTGCGACAGCTAATTTGAGAGGACCTGGGTTTAATTCCCGGAAAGGGCGAAACCACAGGCAAATTCCCTTACTCCACACACCTCTGTTTACCTAGCAGTAAGTAGGAACTTGATTGTTAGTCGATTGGCGGATCACTTTCTGGGGGTAATAATCCCTTATAAAAATAATAATGTGATCACTCAATCCGTGACTGTTTTGTGGGACATTGATATGGCAATTGGCTGCTGCCTTTCGCCCACAAAATATACAGTCAATCCACATTACAGTATATTCTGTGAAGCGCTTTGAGATATCTCAAAGTGATAAAGCGCAAATATCTCAAATGCAAGGATTATTATTATTGAATACAAATATTATTATTTTTTGGTAGGAGATACAGGTAGCAATCGCTAGAGAACAACAAATGACTTTTCTGTTTATTTTTCATTTTCAAAATACAAGATAAAACAGGAACCAAAGTGAGACTGGATTCTTATCAACAGCAGGTTAAAATAGCCACTAATTATGCATACAAGTGTTATAATAATAATCCCTACATTTAATACAGTGCCTTTCACATCAGGAAGAACTCTCAAAGTGCTTCCCAAGATGTACTGTGAAGTGTAGTGTATATTCTGCAGATGAAAATTGGAATAAAAATATAAAGAGCCGTTATGATCTAATATAGTGATTCCAGCCGATCCAGATAGTTTTAGGATAGCATCCTGAGCCACGACACCCAATCATCATAGCAACACAAATGCAGACCATTGAGACCACAGTCAAGAGGTGTGTGTGGGGGGGGTTCGCAACTTGGGACTTTCAATAATTCTCGATTGGTTTGGGCTACAACGGTTGGCGATGTGATGGCATCACCGGTGATAATTATCGCATGGTAGGTCAGATTTTCCCAGCCCGCAATTACAGGAAATCTACCCGCGTCTGTCTCACCAGAACATTCAGTTTGGAAGGAACTTTCAAATAGAAAGAAAGGCTGAGAAATGGGACTGCCACATCATGCGATTTTACTCTCCAAGAGGTCCTAAATTGTTAGCCGCTGACAAGGACGTGCATAATTAAACTTTGCTGAACTGCAGGCACACCCAAAACCATACAATGCAAATGTGTGGGTCAACACTGCTGCCAGAAAACAGGGTCTGAGAGGTTGTGCTTTAACTCCAATGGCCAGACCAGAGATCCAAAATTCCACCTCGTCTTAGCTTGCAAGGCTATTTTGTCTTAAGATTTGACTCAGAAATATGCAGAATTCTTAAACTCATTCTTGATTTCGAAGCAGCTTTTCCACAATACTCAGCCATGTTGGATTTTAATGGTCTCACAGACTAAACCCAGGTCAGAATTATGTCCTCTGATCTTTGGGACTGTGTAAGTGTCACTGCATTTAACCAATAGGAACGAAAAATGCAGCATTCCGATAGGGTATTTGTTAGAGCACTTGCCTCGCAAGTTCTGATTATCTTCAACCTTGGACAACTTCCTTCCCTTTCCCTTACCAGCTATCTCCCCTCCCCCTCCCCCTTTCCCCTTCTCTCCTCTCCCCCCTCCTCCCCCTCTCCTCTCCCCTCCTTTCCCCTCCTCCATCCTCTCCCCTCCCCCTCTCCCCTCCTTCCCTCTTGATCTCACCAACTCCTTGTTTCTCTGTACAAGGTGTACTGTTCCGTGGGCGCGAGTTGCTCTCTGGCATTTGGCCCAAGTGATCATTAGTCATGAATGATCCTGAACATTAAGTGTTAGCAGCAAGTAATCAAATATTCCGAAGGCAATAACCATGCCTGATCCTATTCTCAACATCTACACACAGACAACACTTCCAGAATGTACTGAGGGGAGAAGAAGATCAGTTGGATAATGATCAGGTGCAGCAACCCTGGGTGATGTCTACGACCCCCTCCATAACCCAGAGTCAGTCAGTTCAATGTCCCAACTGAGATCAGCGCTGACCAAGGATCAACTCTGGGACCTTGCTTGTCTGCCTGGTCTCCGATATACACTGGAAGCCCATTGAGCCATCCTGTATAACCAAGTGGTTCATTGGCATTGGATGTGACGTGAAGAAGACCTTTCCAAGGACTGACTGACACAGAGTTGAAGGGGGTGGCTGGGTTGGATGGCTGTATTAAACGACATCGATAAAGTTCTGAACCTATGTTTGCCTTCACGTCGGTAAAGCAGAAGATATTATTTTGCCAACATTTACATGTTTGAGGCATTAGGCAATTTCTGTGCAGATATCGCCATTGCCCCACAGTTAACATGACCCAATATGAATGCGGACCTCTTTTCCACCATTAGATGTCACCAGCACCCTTTGGAATCCCATCACTGGCTGGACTCAGAAGCTTCAACTGTGACATCTAGTGGACTCACTCAGCACTGTGACAGCTGGCTGGCCCTCTGGTCAATATTCCCTCAATGTAAAAATATGCTTGAACCAAGCCACAGGCAGACTGCTGGCTTGACCTTGGCTCAGCATTCCCCTGGCTTGTCCATCCTTTGTTTTGTGCTGCCTTCACACCACAGCTACTGGGCATAAATAAGTGAAAAAGTTGCTTTGAAAGTAGGTTTCGGGCTTTGCTGCGGTTTTCCACTCTCCAGTGAGAGATACAAACCAAAATTTGCGGTACTAATTCGTGAGGTCTTGTTATAAATTCCGTGAGGTCATTTGGGGACTTCATAAAAAGGTCATAAGCCATCCCTCTTGCAATAAAAGCATCTGCAAGGTGCTCTGGTAATACACGGGACGGATAAAATGTCATAGCAGTTTAGTCTCTATCTCAATTGATCGATGGCCAAGACAGCAGTCTATGCTGATGTTTTCTGCTACAGCTGAGCTGGGTTACTGTCAGATCGAGTCCAGTAAGGATTTTTGTTTCATTTGCTGAAGGCAGATATGTTGAAGTGGTTTGACCGTATGTGTACACGAATGGAGATATAAACAAACTCCATAGAAGTACATTGCGCCTTCACCCAGCTCTCTCGGCAAGCTGAGACACCAAGTTGAATTTAAGGAATTTATTGGGGCATGTGCTCTGATAGAAGCATTTTCCACTGTGAGTTCAAAATCGACCAAACCACAAGGCGATATTACAGAATCATAGACTTTTACAGCACAGAGAGCAGGCCATTCCCTCCTCCCTCCATCGTGCCTGTTCTGGTTCTTTGAAAGAGCTATTCATTTAGTTCCCTTCCAATCCCTTTACCCGTATACCTTTAGATTTCAAATATTTGTCTCACTCCTTTTCAAAAGCAATTTGGATTATGCTTTAACCACAGTTTCTGGTTGAGTACCTATTCCAGGTATTTTGTTCATCACTCCCTTTGTTCTTTCTTGGTAATGATTACAAATGTATGCCCTTCTATGTATTATTTCACCGACCAGTGGAAACAGTTTCTCCCTATTTACCCGTACATTAAAAACAACCTCATAATTTTGAACAACTCCATCGTGTCTCACAACTTTCTGCCCCAGTGAGAATTATGGCTGCTTGTGGGACATTGCTGGGCACAAATTGGTTTGTCACATTCGCCTACAAAATAGACACTCTACAGAAAAATGCTGTGAAGCGCCTTGTGACGCTTTCTCCTCCCAATGGGAAAGGCACTGTATGAAATGCAAGGATTATTGTTACTTTTATTATTAACACCCCCCACTTTCTGTCATCTCTCCACACTCCTATGTAGTGTCTCATACCTGATGTCGTTCTTCACTGAACTTCCTCTATATCCTCTCTTAGGCCTTTGACATCCTCTCTATCGTGCGGCCCCCACACTCGATACAATACTCCAACTGCAGCCCACCCGATGGCTTTTACCGTTGTTTACTATTTCTTCTTAGCTTTTGTATTCAATGGCATCGTTTATAAACCTCGGCTCTCAATTAGCTACTTTGTCAACTTTGTCAACCTAAGCTCCCACTTTTAAACGTTTGCGTGTGTTAACCCTTACTTCTCCCTACTCTTCAGCTCCTTTTAACGTTTTAGCAGGAAGGCAGGCAAGGGCGACTAATAAAACTGCCGTTTGACTTTAGAGAAGAAAGTCACAGTTCAGATCCCGCCAGAAAATAAAAATACAAATGGTTCCTTTGTAAGTTGTCAGGCTTTAATTTTACTCACTTGCAGCACCTTGGATCATCCTCCCGATGTGAAAGGCGCTACATAAATGTAAATTTGTTGTTGTTGCTCAACTTCATAAAAAGGTTGGTTTGAATGACATAGATATCTGTATTCCATGCAGAAAGCTTTTTTTACGGTTTAAAATCGGGTTGTGTTTTGTTTCCACATGTCGAAGTGTAATGTTTGCTTTTAAAAGAGCCTGATTATATGTAGGTTAATGGATACCGAGCAGTGTGTTACAACACGGCAATATATCCATGGGTTCAGGTGACATCGTAAACAGTGCGATTGGAGCGTGAGTGACTTATCAATGTCATCTGAAGCGAGTCATCCGTTACTGCCTTTCCTTTCCACACACACCTGCCGAGCTGCTTTTCTTTGTTCAGAGTTAAGTCTGCGTTCTGTTGGTCTCTCTTAGACGACACAACAATTTCTCCTCCCACTCCCTTCCTGTTTGTGGTGTCCCCAAGCAAGACTAGAATTTTGTTCCAGTGCTCGGAAAGCACAAGCTCATGGGAGGTTCAGATAAGGAAGACCCTTCAGATCATTTATCACAGAAAATCCAACCTGCTGACCTCCCATTACAACGTCAAGCTTTTTTTTAAACAGTGTCGTGGCTTCACCACCACCACCAACACCTCCTCCCCTCCCCACCTCCTTCTGGTAACCCTGTTCCAGTTGTTAGTTACCCTCTGTGTGTCTGTCTGAAATTCACTTTGCAACCCTGATCCTGTGCCCTCTTGTTCTGCTGCCTCGGTGTATCTAAAGTATATCTCCATCTCAGCTGACACTCCATTGCAATATTGAGGGAGCCCTGTAATGTTGGAGGTGCCACGTTTCGGATCAGGTTAAATGGAGTTCCAATTTCAATCGGATTCCTTAACAGGGAATGAGTCACAGAAATGGGGGACTTCTTTCAATTAACAACTGGAATGGGCTTACCAGGAAGTGTGGAGAGGGGGAGGGGTGAAGCCAGACCCTATTTAAAATAGCAGAGAGGACCATTCCAAAAACAGATATATACACAACGATTTGCGTTCATCTCCACCCCAGAACCCCGGACACTTCCTCATCCTATCCCATCCCTGACGCAGTTCAAGTGATCAAATGTAAATTATTGTTACATCAAATGTTGTTGTATAGAAAATAGTAAATTGGACTCACCAATGCTTCTCTTTCTCCGAACTGGTGCTGAGCGCTTGGTGTGCTCGTGTTTTGGAGTATTAATTTTATTATTAATACTGTGAGACTTGAGATTGGATTCGGAAGCATCATCTGTGGCAAAACAAGCACCAGATTACAGACGTTCACACATTCCTCAGCAGCGAGTGCATTGTAGATTCTAAATGTGACTTTATCCAATGATGAAATGATATGCAAACATCAGTGCACAATGAGGAACCATGGGGTTTAACTTGTATCTTACCCACCAGCGTCAAAATCATGAGTGAGTTACATACAGTCAGTACTGGAATAGGAGATATTGCTCCATTCAGCTCCCCATCATGCATTCTGTTGCAATAATAATCCTTGCATTCGATAAAGTGCCGGGAGGATGTCTCAAAGCACTTCACAGGATTTACTGTAAAGTGTAGTGACCTTGTATTTTGCAGACCAATGCCACGTATATTAGACAAGTCTCCCAAATTCAAACAGTAGGAACGAGGAGTGAATTTTTGTTTTACATCGGAGGTAACCTGGCGGATAGATTGCAGAACGGGTTTTGAGCATTGCAAAGCCCCGTCAATCTCTTCTCCTCAGCAGTCCACAACCTCCCTGTAACATGGCATCATCCACCTGACCTGAGCCGTGACGTTCCTCCACTCGTTATAATAATCCTTGTGTTTTGGTTTAGCGCCTCTCGTGTCAGGAGGCTTCACAGCATATATTGTAAAGTGCAGTGACTGTGTGTTTTGGGCCTTAGTTTCCTGATATCAAGGACATCAGCAGAATTAAGCAAATGACACAGATGCTCCTCACAGTTGACAAACTGTACCTTTGAGCAATGTGTTCAGCCAAAAGGGATTGCAATGGTCTTTTCCAGTCCTGTTACCCTGGCAGTAACCCAGCAATTACTATTGGTTAACACCGTCTAAAGTGCAACCCTGCCTTGCATTGCACAAGAGTCGACTAATTCACAAATGCCAAGTTTAATGGTTTTGATTCATGATATAAAGTTTGACTCCACCCATGACTGTGCACGATCCTATATTAATTCACAAGAGTGAACACAGCAACAGCTGGGCATTACTGTGCATTCAAAGGAATGTCGCCACTCCAAACCTTTGCACTAATCAGATTATATTTTTTGTGGCTTTTAATAAATGATGTGACATACTCCACATGCAGTAATCAACTGTAGGAATTACATGCGAGATGAAAACACTATCTCTGGTTCACCCGTGTCCTAAGCGTTTAACTAAGCAGACCAGCAAGTGACAGGCTCAATTTCATCTGGAGGAACAGTAGGGATGGAGTTAGTGCTCTAGGCTAGGGATGGGAAAAGAAATCTAGCAGAGTCTCTCTCTGCTCCTGATCACTATCGTTCCAAATGATCAGTGTTCGCTACTGCACAAAAACATTTAATAAACCACTTGTGGCACAAATCATTTCAATCTTCACATTTCAGTACCTTACGCTGATGTCTCTCTCCCCTTTGTTCAGATTGCAGCATTGCTGCCCTCAAATTAGACAAAATTGTAATGTGATGTACTGTAACTGCCTCAGTAATTTATGTGCAGTGTCAATTTCTGAATGATGTGCAATTCACCAGATCCTAGATATATATTCCAATTGTAAGAAGCATTATCTTTTGCACTGTCAGTACTAATTCAGAATTATTACTGTTGGGCAGCCCCTATACACATACATCTAGATAATGACCACTTTTATGTTAAATAAAGACGATAAATAAATTGACTTTGTGGTCCACTCTGGTGATTTCTAGTAGGAATCCTTAATATGGAATCTAAGTTGAGGCTCCATCCAGTAACGGGACACATATCATACTGAGCTGTCTTGGGTGCTCAGATTGTATCAGCTGTTGGTATAACATACACCCAGTTTCTTTATGAAAGAATCCCTTTAGTAATTCACATTTAGGAGTGAAATCAAGAAGCTTTTTTCCCGCAAAGGGTGGTGGAAATCTAGATCTCTCTCCCATAAAAGACTGTGGATGCTGGATCCATTCAAATTTTCAAGACTGAGGTGGATAGAGTTTTGTTAGGTCAGGGTATCAAGGGATACAGGGCAAAGACAAGTCGTTGGAGTTGATGTACAGATCAGACATGATCTATACAGATTTGCGGAACAGGCTTGAGGTGCTGAATGGCCTAGTCCTGTTCCTATGTTCTCACCACTTACTAGCTCTGTTACATTGTGCCCCTGTAATGGAAAGCAATTGCACTACATTGTGGTTTTGAACTACTGGCCATGATAATGTGAAACACAGGAGGATATAACCTTATTGTCAGTTGCTTATCTCAAATTTCAGGAGCCAACTATATAAGGCAGCATTATCAAGCCTCCCTATCTGCCCCTTTATTCTCTCACCCATTCCCAATGCTTCAGAGGATATCTTCTTCGGGATGTTGCTGGATTGCCAATGGGAATGCCAATCCAACGCAAACTTAAATTGGTGATTCTCACTAATACACTTCAGCTCATGGGAATGTCATTTCAGCAGTTTCCTCTTTCAGTGATAGAGATCCAAGCCTGAGAGGAAAAGGCTTTGGCATCAGAAAGAAATTAGTGCCCGTATTCAGTAACTTTCCAGCGCACTAACTTGTTGACATACTTTGCATGTGTGTGTGAATCCAGATCAGCTGAACTCAGTGCACAAAGAACAGAAACCAAAGCAGGCACTGTCCTCTCTGCTTGGTCCAGAAGCACACAGTCCAGACACCTTAATAATATAATCCTTGCATTTGATACAGTGCCTTATCACGTCGTTGAGACGTCTGAAAGTGCTTCACAGAACATACTGTAAAGTGGATTGACAGTGCATTTTGTGGGCCAAACACGGCAGCCAATTTGCAACCTGTTTGTGGTGGCTGTTTGTGTGTTCAAATTGGCTGCCGAGTTCTTCTGCAAATTCACGATCACTACACTTTACAATAAATCCTGTGACATATCCTCCTATGTGAAAGGCGCTATACCAAATAGACGTATTATTAATATTATTATTATTATGTATCGTCAAGGGACCATTATGGTACGATTAACTATTAAATATTTCTTCCATAGAAAGGAGCTACACATATTAAACTGAAGGTAATTGTAAACTGAAACATGCATCGTCACAGAACTTACAAAAGTTAAGGAACCTCAAACAACCTGAAACTGCAGCTTAAAAGCCGTTTCATTCAGATGGATGGGACAGGAGTGAACTGTAACACATAAAACTTGACAGCAGCGAGGAGATCACCTGCCTTATTCCAGCATCAGAACACGTGATAAGTACTTTAAGCACACTGTCTGAGGGGTGCTAAATAAGTTGTTGTTGTAATGGCATTCAATATTATTATACTATATTGTAATAATAATAAGGATTATTATTATTATTATAGGTGCTATTGAAACATACACCATTCTCGGTATTCATGAACAGAAAAACAATTGAAAGGGGATTTTGTTTAAAAAATGTTGCTTTTTGTTAGAAAAAAAACACACAAATCCTCTGCTGTATGTGAGCGAAGCTACTCTATTGATCTGTATTGCTCCACTACTTTGACAATCCTGTTGCTTTCAATCACCTCTATGTCCCTATCAGAGCGTATCTGAGTCTCGTTTGCAAAGCTAAACGCTCCACGTTCTTGGATGGAACGTTAATCCCTTTTATTATTTATCAGGTCCCAAAAAAATGTGCCCATTTCCAGTCACCTTGGAGATCGCTCGGAAAAAAAACCCACACGTGTCACGAGCTTTTCCAGCTCACTGCCCTGACACAGCCTGAGTGCAGGTCACTTGTGGAGTGGAGTGTTTAGGGCTCACGTGTTCTGCTCGCTTTGTGCCGAGTTACAGCGGGGGCAGAGAGTCAAGAAACAAAGCCCAGACGTCAGGTTATCGATCACTGTGTGCTGCGAACTGACCGAAAGGACTGTCGTGCTGGCCAGAACGGCCAGTGAGGACCTCTTACTCATGCAGAGTGCTTTTGATTGAATAAATGTGTCTGGGTTATTTGATTAGGGTGCAGGCAAAATCACCGTGCTTCTATTCAGGTACTTTACTCCACTTATTCTTAAGAGGTACTGTTGTGGAGTCCTGTAGCTTAGTGGTTAGAGCACTCGCCTCACAAGTGAGAGGACCTGGGTTTAGATTCCCGGGCAGGGCGAAACATTGGGCACGTTTCCTTACTTCACACACACACACACACACACACACACCTCTGTTTACCTCGCAGTAAGCAGGAAACCGTTTTTTTAAGTCGTTTGGCTGATCGCTTTTCTGGGGGTAATAGTTCCTTCAAAGCAAAAATAAATTTTAAAAAAGTAACAAGAATTTGGTCGCTCAAACCACGGCTGTTTGTGGGACGCTGCTGTGCGCAAATGGCTGCCGCGTTTCACCCTCAAAATATTCAGTCAATTCACTTTACCGTATATTCTGGGAAGCGCTTTGAGGTGCCTTGAAGATGTGATAAGGCGCTGTATCAAATGCAACGATGATTATTGGAGCATTTACAAGTAATATACAATGACAAATATTTCAGCTCAGCTAACCTGTTTGCTACCCACTCTGAATCCCAATTTCCTGCTCCTTCCTCCATCCCCTTTCAGACTTTCATTCTTCAAGTGTCATTCATTCCCTTCTAAGCAAAATCAGTGGCCGAGTTTTCAACTACCACGCCATCAAACTTCTAGAATTCACTGCCTAAATCCCTCTGCCTTGCCCCATCTTTTTCCATCATCAGATCTCACCTGACGACTTTCCTTCCCGACCATACCCTACAGTCACCTCCTCTTTCTCTCTGACTCGACATCAAACTCTGCCATTGTTAAGCTCTCTGAGATGTTCCCTTATGTGAAGGGCACTATATAAATGCACACTTTTGTTACTGTTAAATTTTATAATTGAGTTAGCTTCACTTTGGGGGGAACATTCCACAAGAAACCATTTCGTTTTTGGATTCCTCCTTCGCACTTCCAGTAACAATCTGGAGTTGTTGCTCCCTCTCTGGAAACAGTCTTGTTTCATTTGTTATTTTTCTATTGATGCTCTGGTGCTTGCAAGAAAATTAAAATACAATAATAATGCTGGCATGTGATATAGCACCTTTCACACCAGGAGATCATCTCGCATGGCTTCACAGGAAGAGTGTAGCTTTGTAGCAAGAAAGGTTGCCCTTGGAATTAGTTTAAAGTGTTAAAATTGATGGACTGTTGACACTTCGCAAGGTCCACTGAGCAGAGCACATAAAGCGGACAGACACTGTGTGCTCGCTACATAAAGTGAGACACCATTTCCTGGCTCAGTGAAACACATATTTGGTGAAATAAGTTTTATTGTAGCTTCTTAATCATGTGGTGTTATTTGATTGGAGCAGGAGGTGCCTTATGTTTTCAAATCGCAAGAAAATATTATGTTATGGGCACATTTGACCATAACATTGTCCTGAAGGTCGAGGTTAGTCGGAAAAAGTAGCCCTACGGTTCAAAGAAATTTGGTCTTAAATCTCTTGAGAGTGGGGTGGGGGGGGGGGGGGTGGAGAAGGCAAAGATATTAAAGGCCGTGGGGGAATGGGCAGTGCAATGGGATGAGACTAGACAGCTCCAGTGGGTGGGTGGGGGGGGGGGGGGGGTGAAGCAAGCACCAGCACAACACTGTGGGACTTATGCCCTCTTCCTGTGCTGTAAACATTCTCTGATTCTCTTAAATCCTGTGTATTGTGACTACATTCCAATGCTCTCCATTAGTCACTTGGACATGGGCGATGATGGAGATGGAACTGACTAGCAGAGGCATTGCTAAACATAAGATCTTTAAGCTTATAATAAGCAGGAAGCCAGACCAGCGCCTCCCTGCCAGCCTCTTATCCAGCAGCCAAGGTTGGGTTTCTTTCTGTCCTCTGAAGGTTAGGGCTCTCGAAATATCAGTGCGATGGGGAGGAGAGGTGGGGGGGGGAGTAAATGGCAATGACATACAATTTTATTTTGATTAAGTCTGACACATGCAGAAACCTCCAATGCTTAAGAGTATCCAAGCCAGACTGAGAAACAACACCCGCCTGTGTAAATGTAGAATTAGCGCAGGCATCGCAAGGCGTCTCAGTGAGTGCCATGGGGAATAACTTGGCACAATGCAATAGAATAATAATCCTTGCATTTTGGGGGGGGGGGGGGGGAGAGCATAAGCCCTTTATCACGCGGGAAGGAAGTCCAGAGGACTTTGAAGCGAAGTGACTGTGCATTCGCAGGCGAACGTGGTGTTGGGAGTCCTTTAACGTGGACCGCGCTGCGTTCCAAAAACAAAAGAAGAAACCTTTGAGTTAAATAACTTTTTTTATTATTTTTTTAAAAAAGCTGGGAGTTTATGGGTTTTGGATTCTGCCCTCTCTTGTGACTGTCTGTGTTTGTACAGAGAGCGGTTGATAAACATTACACCCCCTGTAAAACCTTATGGATCGCTCTCTCCAGGTACTGAACATTTCATTGCTAAAATTATTTCTGACAGTGGGGATGGGCTGGGGCTGGGGGGCTGATATTTATATTATATATATATATATATATCCACACAAACAGGATTTACCTACGGATTCAATCTCCAGGAGGCGCTGAAGATCACTGATGCTGTAGATTTCACTGTGTGCCAACTTCTCCAGCAATTCTTGCGGAATCTCGGCTTCCTTTGAAGTAAAAGGTTGCAAATGAGCTAATGACATACCGTGAACCTCCCCCCACCCCCTCACACACACACCTGCACACTCACACACACACACACACACACCCTCACACACACACACCCTCACACACACACCTACACACTCACACACACACACCTACACCCTCACACACACCTACACCCTCACACACACCTGCACACTCACACACACACACACACACACCCACACACTCACACACACCCACACACACACACACCTACACACTCACACACACACACACCTACACCCTCACACACACACCTGCACACTCACACACACACACACACCTATACCCTCACACACACACAGACCCACACACACACCTGCACACTCACACACCACACACCTACACACTCACACACACCTGCACACTCACACACCCCCACACCTACACACTCACACACATATAGAAACACACACAAGTCCCAAACCGCAAACTCCTGTGCAATATGTTTCACAACTGCAAAAAAAAGACAGCAACAGCAGCCCCCGGGGGGGGCTCCAAGTGTGTGTGTCTGTGTGCACTTGTGTGTCTGTGTGCACTTGTGTGTGAGTGTGCACTTGTGTGTGAGTGTGCACTTGTAGTGCCTGTGTGTGAGTGCAGAAAGCGAGCAGGGAATCAAGAGGAGAGGGGGGAAAAAAACGTGGAAAAATATAAACCAGGGACTAAGATGCCCCTGAGATTCGGCCGGGGGGGGGTGGGGTGGGGGGTGTGGGTGGGGGGGGGGTGTTGTGCTGTGGGTGGGGGGGGGGTGGGTGGTGTGGAGCGTTGTTGGAGCGCACTTTAAGATTGCAGCGGTTTAAAGGGTTACACAGATCAGATCCCCCACTTTGCAGAGCCTGGATCTCAATGAGAGGAAGGAGTGTGTGTGGGGTGGGAGGGGGGAGAGAGAGAGAGAGAGAGAGGCGAGGTGGGGGGGGGGGAGGAGGGGGGAGCAAACATCAAAGGAACGGTGAAAATGGGGGCAGCTTTGCTATTGAGTGTGACTTGGGGAACACGTTATGAAATCGATGAGAGACTGTGGCAGATTGAGAGCTAAACCAGTCCCAGACTCCATGGATTGCTCTCTCTCTCTCCCTCTCTCTCTCTCTGCTAAATGTTGTCCCTTTTCACTGTAATGTACAGTGCTATTTCTCTCTCTCTCCCCCCCCCCCCCCCCACCCCCCCCACACACACACACACACACAAGATCTCCAGGGGTTCAGAAAGCAAAGCCCCACATCGTTAGCTTTCACTGGTGCACAGACTTCACAGCCACAAAAGCAGGAAACCTGTCACACAAAGTGAATGCTTCTCACGCACTAAAACTTCAATCGACCTCCAAATAAATCCAGTCAACTCTTCAAGTTGTAACTGGCGTTGGGGGGGGGGGGGAGGGGGTCTCTCTTAAAACCCCACGATCTAAACAAAAAAAGAACACCCCCCCCCCCTCGTTACACAACTTTTGTGGGGGTTAAACTATCTGGTCAGGTCTCAGGGAGACGTGGAGAGGACCTTTCCTGTAACCTGTCTTAGTTTGTGGGTTTCCATTTCAAACCCTTTTTTTGTGTGTGTTTTGCACAAAATTAATTTCTTCTGTTCTGTACATATAGTTATATATGTTATATATAGATGCACACTCACACACACTCACACACACACTCACACACACTCACACACACTCAATCACTCACACACACACTCACACACACAGACACACTCACACACAGACACACTCACACAGACACACTCACTCACACAGACACATTCACATAGACACACTCACACACTCACTCACACACACACTCACACAGACACACTCACACAGACACACACAGACACACACACACTCACACAGACACACACACACAGACACTCACAGACGGACACACTCTCACACACACACTCACACATACACACAGACACACACACACACACACAGACAGTCACACACACTCACTCACACACACACACTCACAGACAGTCACACTCACTCACACACACACACACACACACACACACACACTCACATTTCCTGTAACTCGCGAGTTACCCCACAATCCGCGATCGGTAACTTTTTGTTACACCAAAAAATAAAAAAAAAAGCAAATGCTTTACAAACTCTGCGGGTGGTGGAAAAAAAAAGAAACTTTGCAACACCTTCTGCGCCGAAGAAACACTTCGCAGAGTTTCTCTACTGCAACATAATACTTTACAAAATCTCCCTTTCCCCCCCACCCCCCACCCCCCCACCACCCCCCCACTGCCCCCTTTAAACCTCCCCCCGTTACTCCCGACACTAAGTCGCTTCCTTATCCGCACGTTTTTGATGCAAAAAAAAAAGAACATATCCCCTCCACACGAACAGCGCACAAGAGATCTGCTGAAGGCAGAGGGGCGAAGGGCAGTGACTTACCTCAGTGCGAGCGCAGCGACAGTGGAGAAAGCATAGGATCAAATAAACGGCCGTTCTCATTTCGGTTCAGTGTCGGTTTGTTTAAAGGGAAGAAACCGATCATTTAGGAGCGGAAAGGGCGCTCCTGTCGCGCGGAAAATCGGTACCATCCCTCGGGGAAAGTAACCAGTGTGCGAGGATTTCTTCTTTCACGTTTGGTTTGTGCGTTTCCCCCCCTGAGCTGTGGGCTGTGGCCATCAGCAGAGCGGTCCGTACATCTGCATATTTGTTTAGATCACAAACCAAACAGATGAACCCATAAGTCAACACTGCGCTGCGCTGATCCGCCCATCACCTGTCTGCCCGCTGGAGGGCTGGGGCTGGGGCTGGGGCTGGGGGGGGGGGCTTTCCTCTGGGAATGGGGAGGGAGGGGGGGCTTTCCTCTTGGGAATGGGGAGGAGGGGTGGGATCTTTCCTCTGGGAATGGGGGAGGGAGGGGGTCTTTCCTCTGGGAATGGGAAGGAGGGGTGGGAGGGGGTCTTTCCTCTGGGAATGGGGAGGAGGGGTGGGAGGGGGTCTTTCCTCTGGGAATGGGGAGGAGGGGGAACTTTCCTCTGGGAATGGGGAGGAGGGGTGGGAGGGGGGGGTCTCTCCTCTGGGAATGGGGAGTGGGGGTGGGGGGAAACTTTCCTCTCTCTTTTTTTAAACGCCCCCCAAAAAAAATTTAAAACAAAGTCAATTTACTTCCTCGCAGAGGGGGAAAATAAACCCCCAAAACAGCCACGAATCTCGATTGATCTCTGTGGACTTTCTCTCTGTCTCTCTCTCTCTTTCTGTCTCTCTCTCTCTCAAAACAGATCAGTCTCGAAACCGCACAATTTTTTTTGTAACCAATAAAAAAAAACCCGAGAGAGAGAGAGAGAGAATAAAAGGGTGAAAAAAAAAGCCACACAAGGGTCGGTGTCTTGTCTTGTTGAACGAGACGGGCAGCGTTGGCAAACTTTTCTCCTCTCTCTCTCTCCTCTCTCTTCTTCTCTCTCTCTCTCCTCTCTCTTCTTCTCTCTCTCTCTCTCTCTCCTCTCTCTTCTTCTCTCCTCTCTCTTCTTCTCTCTCTCTCTCCTCTCTCCTCTCTCTCTCCTCTCTCTGTGTCTCTCCTCCTCTTAAATCCTCGGTAGTAACGTGTGAGTCCTCCTTTGCAGTTTGCTCGAGAGAGAGAGAGAGGGAGAGAGGGAGAGGGAGAGGGACGGGCAGTGTGGGTGTGGGGTGTGGGGGGAGAGACACAACTCCCCAGTCCGAACCGAGCGACCCTCCCCCCCCCCCCCCCTCCCCCCCGGGCACAGAAAGCCAACCCTTTGGCGGAGACAACCGTAACTCCTCTAAAGGGGGTGGGAGTGAGAGTGGGAGAGAGAGAGGGGGGGGTTAGTGGTAGTGGAGGGGGGAGTAGTGGTGGTGGGGAGTAGTGGTGGTGGGGGGGGGTCAGTGAGGGTGGGGGTAGTGGTGGTGGGGAGTGGGTCAGTGGGGGGGAGTGGTGGGGGGGGTCAGTGGTGGTGGGGGGGGGTCAGTAGGGGAGCTAGTGGTGGTAGTGGGGGGGGTTAGTGGTGGGGGGGTTAGTGGGGTTAGTGGTGGAGGGGGGTCAGTGGGGGGGGGTTACTGGTAGTGGGGGGGTTAGTGGTGGGGGGTTAGTGGGGTTAGTGGTGGAGGGGGTCAGTGGGGGGGGGGTTAGTGGTAGTGGTGGGGGGTTAGTGGTGGTGGGGGGGTTCAGTGGGGGGGGTAGTGGTGGTGGGGTCAGTGGGGGGGGTCAGTGGTGGTGGGGGGTTCAGTGGGGGGGGGTTAGTGGTAGTAGTGGGGAGGGGTCAGTGGGGGGGTTAGTGGTAGTGGTGGGGGGGTCAGTGGGGGGGGGTTAGTGGTAGTGGTGGGGGGGGTTCAGTGGGGGGGGTTAGTGGTAGTGGTGGGGGGGGGTTAGTGGGGGGGGGTTAGTGGTGGGTGGGGGGGTTAGTGCGGGGGGGTTAGTGGTAGTGGTGGTGGGGGGTTAGTGGGGGGGGGGTTAGTGGGGGGGGTTAGTGGTAGTGGTGGGGGGGGTTAGTGGGGGGGGGGGGTTAGTGCGGGGGGGTTAGTGGGGGGGGTTAGTGGTAGTGGTGGGGGGGGGTGTTAGTGGTGGGGGGTGTTAGTGGGGGGGGGTTAGTGGGGGGGGGTTAGTGGGGGGGGGTTAGTGGTAGTGGTGGGGGGGGGTTAGTGGTGGGGGGGTTAGTGGGGGGTTAGTGGTGGGGGGGTTAGTGGGGGGGGGTTAGTGGTGGGTGGGGGGGTAGTGGGGGGGTTAGTGGTAGTGGTGGGGGGGGTTAGTGCGGGGGGGTTAGTGGTGGTGGGGGGGTTAGTGGGGGGGGTTAGTGTAGTGGTGGGGGGGTTAGTGCGGGGGGGTTAGTGGGGGGGGTAGTGGGGGGGGGGGGGTTAGTGCGGGGGGGTTAGTGGGGGGGGGTTAGTGGGGGGGGTTAGTGCGGGGGGTGCGGGTATTTTGCGGCAGCGAAGTGATCCAGAACAGCCCTTCACTAACTGTTTGGCTTCACATCACGTCGCCCTCTCGGCCACAGCTCAGATGAGCCCAAACTCTCGCAAATCTCCAAATATATCCGCCCGGAGGGGGGGACCGGTCATACATGTGCTGTGGTCTTCAGCACTGCTTTTTTTTTTGCGCTCTCATCCACATACACACACACACCACACATACACACATACATACACACCACACATACACACCACACACACACACACCACACATACACACACACACCACACATACATACACACCACACATACACACATACATACACATACACACACACCACACACACACACACACCACACATACACACATACATACACACCACACACACACACACACCACACACACCATACACACACACACACCACACACACACATACACACCACACATACATACATACATACACACACACACACACATACCATACACACATACATGCACTACACACACACACACACCATACACACATACACACACATACACACCACACACACACACCATACACACATACATACACACACATACACACCACACACACACACACACACCACACACATACACCACACACACACGCGCGCACATTGGATGGGACTGACTGCACGTTATGTGGTTTGGATGGGGCGCAGTTTACTGTGGATTCAATGCGGAGACTCGACTCATTACGGAGAACCCTCGGCCGCACTGTGCGGCTTTATATATATATATATGTATATGTGTTTGTGTGTGGGTGTGTGTGTGGGGGGGTATGTGTGTGTGTGGGGGGGGGTGTGGGTGTGTGTGTGTGTGGGGGGTGTGGGGGTGTGTGTGGGGGGGGGTGTGGGGGTGTGTGTGTGGGGGGGGTGTGTGTGGGGGGGGGTGTGTTGTGTGTGGGTGGTGTGTGGGGGTGCGTGTGTGTGTGGGGGGGGTGTGTGGGGGGGGGTGTGGGTGTGTGTGGGGGGGGGTGGGTGTATGGGGGGTGGTGGGTGTGTGGTGTGTGGGGGGGGGGTGGTGTGTGTGGGGGGGGTGGGGTGGGTGTGTGTGTGGGGTGTGTGTGTGGTGGGTGTGTGTGTGTGGGGGGGGTGTGGTGTGTGGTGGGGGGGGTGTGGGAGGGGTGTGTGTGGGGGGTGTGGGTGTGGGGTGGGTGTGTGTGGGGTGTGTGTGTGTGGGTGTGTGTGGGGTGTGTGGGGGTGTGTGTGTGGGGGTGTGGGGGGTGGGGGTGTGTGTGTGTGGGGGGGGGTGTGTGGGTGGGTGTGTCTGTGTGTGTGTATGTGGGGGTTGTGGGGGGGTGTGTATATGGTTTGTGTGTGGGGGTGTGTGTGTGAGGGGGGTGTGTGTGGGGGGGTGGGGTGTGTGTGTGGGGGGGGGGTGTGGGTGTGGGGGTGGGTGTGTGTGTATGTGGGTGTGTGTGGGGGGGGGGTGTGGGGTGGGTGTGTCTGTGTGTGTGTATGTGGGGGGTTGTGGGGGTGGGGGGGTGTGTATATATGCGTTTGTGTGTGGGGGTGTGTGTGTGTGGGGGTGTGTGTGTGTGGGGGGGGGGGGTGGGGTGTGTGTGGGGGACTGTATATTGAGCTCTGTGACCGCAGTGACGGGCGCAGCTTTGTTGTGTAGTGTTGAGCTTCAGTTCTCCCCCCACACACCCCCACTCTCTCTCCCCCCCCCTTCCTCTCTCTTTCTCTCAAACCCCTCTCTTTCTCCCCTCCCCCTCTCTTTCCCCCTCTCCCTTTCACCTCTCTTCCCCCATTTCGCCCCTATCCCCATCTCCCCCCTCTCTCCCCACCCACCCCTTTCTCTCCCCCCTTTCCCCCTCCACCACCCCTTTTCTCTCCATTATCTCCCCCTCCCCCTTTCCCCCTCCCACTCTTCTGCCCTCTCCCCATCCCCCTATTGCCCCACCCCCTTTCTCTCCCCCATTCTCTCCCTCCCCGCTTTCCCTCTCTCCCCCCCTCTCTGCCCCAGTCTCCCCCACCCCCCTTTTCCCCTCCCCCTTTCCCTTTTCCCCTTGCCCCACCCTCCTTACCCCCCTCTCGCCCCTACTCCCTTCTCTCTCCCCCATCACCGCTCCTCCTTTCACCATCTCCCCCTCCCCCCTTTTCACCCTCTCCCTCCTTTCACCCCCCCCCCCCCCCCCCCCCCCCCCCCGGGGGGCTCAGATCAGGAGATCCCTGCGATGGAAATGTTTGGGATGTTTTCTGCGTTAATTGAATCTGCTGCAAATCATACGAAATGCAACAGTACTGAATAACTTGAGGGCTCCAGCAATGGGCAAACTGGGAACTGAGGGCGGCCGGTGTCCTGGCCTCTCACCCCCAGGAGCGCTGAGGAGGGGGGGATTGGCATGGAATTTGAATCGTCACCCCCTCCCCCCCCCCACCCATCTTGGAGCGGTGGGTTTTAAACCCACCTCGCACTTCTCCCAAGATCTGTGATCAATGCAATGAGCAGCACATCCACAACACACCAAAAATACATGATCTGACAACGTTCATAGAATCATAGAAACCTAGAGCACTGGAGGCCATTCAGCCCATCCAGCGAGGACCAGCGCTTGGAGGAACGTGCCCCTTAACGCCCATGACCCTGCCTTATCCCCTCCCCCACTTCACAATCATACCCTCCTTTTACCTGTTTGTCTCTCCTCCCCTCCACTCCACCATTTAGTCACTACGCCCCAAAGTTTTGAAATTCTCCCAATCCCTCCACCTTGCCCCCTCCTTCACTGCTTTTCAGATCACAACTGAAGACCTTCCTCTTTGACTGTTCTTGTGGTCACCTCCTCCCTCCCCTCCAGTTTGGCCTCAGGCTGCGCCACTGTTAAGCACTCCGTGTG